AAAAATATTCATTTTCGGCAAAAAGAAAATGGAAATGCGCGCCGTCAGGCAGCTCAGCTGTGCGTGGCGCGGGGATGTGGCAGTCAGATAGCTACCATTCAGAGTGGTGGCTTGCAAATTTGTCAATGTGACGCAAAAATACAAGATGTAAGCGACTTGCCGCTGGCGATTTCAGTCATCTTACAGGATTTTGCGTCTTACGCGACAGTTTGAAGAAGTTGTGGCGGCTATAGGAGAGGTTGAGATATGAGCGGCATAAGACGAAAAGTTGAAAGGTGCAGTGAGCAGTGAGCAGACTATATAAAAGCAAGGATGAAGTGAGTAGCAGACGTGGAAATGAAAAGAAAGTATAAAAAGTGCGCGTGAAAGACGACAACGTAAATTGTGGCAAGGATATATGCAACATTGATTATTAAAAACATCTACCTTTCATAACAGCGTCGTCTTGAACCTTGTCGCTGTCGCCGACGCTCACCGCCAGAGAAATGCTGTTAATTTTCAGCTATTACTTCGCTACCTACGTTTTCTATGTGCAGCCAGCACCAAACAGCGTCCTTTCGACATGTTGCACGCATGTTGCGCATAACCGCCGCAGCTGCATCTGCGCTATTATTCGGCTTTATTAATAAAGCAAATAATAACATGTTTGACTTTTCTGCGCATTCTCCCCTTTTTCGTGCCAACACTTTCACATCAGACACATTGTCCTGTATCTGGCTCATTTCTGATGCGGCGCAGGGTGTGTGTGTGTCTGCGCGCATCATTGTCGCCACGTAATGAGCCTGTGCTGTGATGTGCAGTCTAAAGTCGTCATTGTTTGCTGGCTGCTGCTAGTCTTTTAGATATTTTTTTTATAAACTTTTTTTTTCTACTTTTTGTTATGGCCTTTTTGACTATTGCGCCCTATACGCGGATGGTGCAACCAACTGGAAAAATTACAATTTAAAGTACGAAAACAATGACAACAACAACACAAAAAGCGACTGAAACCGAAAATTTCGGCAAACAAACGCCATAAACGAATGTATATGTGTATGTATATACGCAGTTATGTGTATGAAGTTCAGCGTGGTGGCAATCATCAAGCGCTCAGCCGGCTAATTCTTTCAATCGAGCAAAAATTTCATAAATAGACAATAGTTCACATTCACAAATACATGCTTGCAACAGCAAGCTTTAGCGCCTGATAGACCGGCTGGACCTTGAGCGGCTTAATTGTGAAGACAAAAAAATTTGTTGGGATTTATTTTTGGAGTTGCTATTTTTTCCCCCAGTGCGGCTGCGTAAGGCCAGCGAAAGAATTTTTGTGCATTTGAGATTTACTGAATCGGAAGCGATTTTTGACTGTAAGCTTAGCAACCTCATCAAACTCATCATCATTATCAACACAAACTCGTCATGATCATCACAAAATCCTCACATTCATCATTAGCAATAACACTGTGTAGTACATCATTCGTAATCATCATGCCTTTGGCCTTTCTCTGCTGTGAGTCGCGCTCAGGGGTGAGTTGCGGCATGCGATTTAAGCTTACAACATACCAATTTTTTAGCAGTCATAGGGTTGCTGCAAGCTTAATTGTACATCTACAGACTATGTATATATCGAGTTTTGTGTATTTTAATTTATGCAAAACGCAAAATTTGTACAAAAATGAGATGAGCATAAATTCTCGGATTTTCGGCTAATTTTCAGCAATGCTGCCGCACTCTACTTCTAGTTTTTTAGCGCTGTTAAACTTTTCAAGGAAAGAGTCAGTGGTCTGATGACTTTTTAATTAAGCGCAAGGCGGGTATTGGGTGGAATTAGCTAAAGCAAAGGGTGTGAAATGTTGGGATTTGTGGCTGTAGGGTTGTTTGCGAGCGCGCAGAGCGCGGTGCTGGTAACGTTGCATATATACATACAATATTGAATATTTGTGTATTGTGAATTATTAATGAATACATTATTTAGTGTGTTACATACACTTAAATTTATTGTATTTGTGACATGAGTGTGCGTGCGCTTGTTTTATAAAGCAATAATAAAATATTGGCGTAAAAATGGTCTTTCGCTATTTATTTTATTTTAGAATATCTTGAATATTATATAAATTTCAAAATTAATTGCTTTCTCACAGTTTTTGCTCACTCAATATGCTCTTTACAACAAAAAATTGCACATTATAATTCATTAAAAAAAATTTCGGCTTTCTAATTACAACTAATTTTTCTCAAATTTCATGTTCTTTGTTTTATAATAATGTTTGAATACGAGCCACGCTGACTGCCAGCGCTGGTAAATATTGTCTCAGCTGCTTTTTTCACATTTTCATGCATTCTCTTCTAATGCAACATTGCATTCAAGCGCTGCGCGTATCAAATGTCAACATGTAACGCAGATAAATACAGATGTTTGTAGCATGAGTTGCAGTGTACTCTGTCGTAGGTGGAAATATGAAATTTAATATCGTTAAGTGTTGGAAAAATTAAATTGAAGGCGATACAGACAGAATGCAGCTAAATTTCGGTGAGAAATAAAAATGTAAAATCAATTTTGTTCTGGAATAAGTTGCATGAAATTGTTGTTGAAAAATTTTGTTAAATATATTTTTATTAAATGTTTTTATTAAAATTTATATATTTTAGTTTGACAAAAAAATAGTTTAAATTTCTACGTAAGTTTGGACTAAAAATTTGAACTTATATAAGACGAAAAACTTAAAAAATATTTTTTTTTAAATTAAAACCATAATATAAAAATCTTTTTAAATGCTTGGCTTAATACAATATTTTATGAAACATTTAAAAAAAATATGTTTTTAAGAATTTTTAAGTTTTTTTTGAAAAACAAGTGTTTTTAAAAAATAAATATAGAATACATAACACTTATTTTCGAAGCATTCCAATATTTTTTAAATGTGTTTTACTTGAATATGCCCATATTTTATGATATGAATAACCAAAGGTTGCAGATTGCTGGAAAAAAATATTTTAAATATTTAAAATGTAGAATAAATTTTAAAATCCACATATATATTTATTTAGTTATATTTATTTTTTAAATATTCAATTTTAGTAAGAAACAAAAATTAATACATTTTTTTTTGTATTTAGGTTGAAAAATGTTTATAAGCCAATATACGTATAGTATTATAAACAAATTACATATTTAAATTATTATTTTAACAAATTCGAAAATCACTTAAAGATGCCAAATTAAAATCTGCGCGAAAGCTAAAAATGTGATTTTAAATTCACAAATTAAAACACATTAAAAAAGCCGTTATACGTGAGCCAAAACTCATAAAAATTTTATTTTAAACTTACAAATTGTGTATATACATATATAATCATGCTTAGATGAATTCACAGCCATATATAATATATATAGTATGAATATGGCAGTGAAATAATTTAGCAAAATGTTAAAAATATATAATACATTTCCAAAATATTGTTCATGTTTGGCAAAATGTTTAAAAATTCATGCTTACTGTGTAATAAAAACAAAGCAGCAAAGCAAAAATTTAAATTCAAGGCAACTGAATGTTTTAAAATAACAGTAAAAGTAGCAATCAAATCCAACAAATTGAATCGAAAAATGCACAGAATACTAAATGTGTATGCAATTGTGATTTTTTAAAGTCAATATTATGTAATTATATTTTTCAAACTTATTTGGCAAAATTTACACATTTCTAAATTTCTTAAAAATCATAAATTTACGAGCATTTACACACTTCTAATTATTACAGAGTTCATTGCCACTTTACAAAAGTCGAATGCGGCAAATTAGCACATATTACTATTATTAATTTTGATTTGTGGATGCAACACAGTCAAATACATGCTTAAATGGCAAACAAAAGCGAGACCAAACGAGCAAAAACCGAGAAAGGTGCAAATAAATAAATATAAGTGAAACAAAAGCGTCAACAAAGGCCACTTGAAGAATTGAAGACTGCGCAAAAAAGGACAACAATGCAATGGAGAGGGTCCGACAAAGGTACCGAACGAACACGCAGACAGGTTGGCATGCGGACACGTTCAACACGAGCTACATGTAGTGGTAATAGAGTGGAATATTTAAGGACACGCTGCAGCGACTAGCACACCGATGTAGATATGTATGTATGTGTTTGTGTGTGCATTTATGTGGTTGCAATCATGTGTCCGCCACAACAGGCCAATTAAGTGAAGAGGTCAACACTATGTAACAACAGCGGCGATAGTAAAAGCCAAACATTGTTAGTGTTGTTGGTATCAACGACATCAACGCTGATTAAAACCATACTCGGGAATATATATATATACATACATACATATATATAAATATATATAAATTTAGTGGAATAGTTGCTGCTTTGTGAATGTTAGAGAGTGGATCTTCTGCAGACAGGCGTCTTTTAACTGCTCTTGCAGGTGTGTGTGTTTGGCAGGACGTGTTTTATTAGACACTTCAGCTACGTTCGCCTACAAGCTGCAGACTATTTTGTAGATTACAATGTGTGGTAGAAAAAAAGCAAAACAAAAAGTGAGCAAACTAGTAAAAAATCATGAAAGATTGTGAGAGAAAAAAAATTCCATTTTAAAACATAAATTATGTGGAGAGATTTGTGGAAAGATTTACTATATTGAACCAGAAATAGTTAATACTTCGTAAGCACAGTAAAGCTTGCAGCAACTTCTTAAATATATAAAATGCCGTTATCTGAGAGATTTATCCGCTAAATCCCAAACATTTTTAGAAATACTAGAGAAATAAGTGACCAATTTATATATTTGCCTAAAATTATGCCTCACTAATAAAATGTTGCAACATCAAACTATGCACGAATTAATTAAATTTTTGCTGAACGTAAGGTATGCTCAGCCCGAGCATGAAAAGGAACCAAACATCAAAGAGCGCGACCCACACATAAGTAACAGGCTTGAGTCATTGCCTTTCAACTTTTTACACCGAGTTAAAAAAAAAATATATATATAATATTATATATTGAACAATGTCAGCTACTTGCCTGGTCTGCCGTGTGTATTGCGCTGTGCCGTTGACACTGCACCGCTGTTGTTCGCTGCCGTTGCTGCAGTCAATTCACCAGCGCGATGTGGCAAATGCTGATATTCATAATCGTATGGTGATTGCTGTTGTTGCAGATGTTGTTGCTGTTGCAATTGTAAATTCTGTTGATTCTGATGTTGTAATGTATTTTGATGTGAATGTGTCGACGTTGGATTATGACGCAGACTCATCATACCACCAACAGCGGTTCCGCCACCATTTACACCACCGCCTCCAAGGCCGCCGCCGCCACCACTCCCGGCGCGTGTATCCACATCGCGACAGTCCAGTGTCGTTTCATATTCATACGGATTCATCGTGGTGGACTCCAACGGGCATTCGTCGTCGTCAGTGTCGGTGCCACCGTCGTAGATGTTCTCGGTGTGACGGTATGCGTGATGATTTTGCTTTGAGAACTTAATTTTGATGGCTTTTTATATAAACAGCGGGACGAAGAAGTAGAAGTAGAAGAAGTAACCGTTGCTTCCGTTCAACGGTGTACGCTTCAAGTTGGTGGGTGGTCAGCGTATGTGCGGTGTCTTCTTTAATTTGTTTGATTGTAGATTTCCTTGTAAAGTTTTGTTGTAAAATTTTTTGCTTGCGAAATTACGCTGACTTTTAACATTTTTGTTGGTTGCACATTTTGGGGTTTATAACTTTTTCTTAACTTCGTTGTTTCGTTATAACTTTTTCACTGTCTTTTTTTAATTATTTTTTTTTTGTTATACTTTTAATTTTAACACAGTATTTCATAAATTTTTAGCACCTGAAAATAGCTTTGCTTCGTTGAATGTGTGCTGGCCAGTAATTTGGTAGTTTAGAAAGCACTAACTGGAATTATGAAATTTCGGGATTAATTTTTTGTTATATTTATCGCGGTTTCAGATTTAAAACATTCCACTGAAGAAATCTTATGTAAACGAAAATCAAGTATACATTATGTATAGTAGTTAAAATTTTTATGTGGTTTCAATATTTGAAGTGGTTGCATCATATGTATGTTGATTTTGAAATTTTCTCTAAATTAAAAATTATATGCATGGTTCAAGAAACCTTGTTTTCTATCAAAAAATAAATTTAAAAGTTATAGAAAATTATCAATTTGTAAAATATATACCATTTTGACTTTCTAAAGAATGTAAAACGCATTTTCAATGTTTCTCAAATCTGGTTTTAAATGATCTCGAAAAAACTCAATTTTATGACTAATTCAAAATTATTTTATATTCGCTTTCTCTGCATAAATTAACTTCGATTTTATTTTTAATATTTTTATATATATAATAATTATTTTTTTTTTAATTTTTATTATATTTGTAGTAAAAACACAAGTTCTAAAATAATTGTTGCTGAATTTTGAATAAACTGATGAGTCGTTCTTTTTATACAACAGCAAATATTCTACCACAGTTCAAATATATTGCTTTAATCTTATATATTGTTAAATTTTCGTTTTTATCAAAATTAATTATTTATTTGTCTTATAATTATAAGCAAGCAATTTTTCGACACACTTAAATTTTTTAGAATACTCGTATTTTTAAATTTTTTTTAGAAACATTTTCCTTTACTTGATATTTGCTTTTTGTTTGTGTTAATTTTGTTTTCTGCTTTGCTAGCCTGTAATATTTTATTTACAGCTGATAACGCCAGATTTCGTAAATCAGTCTGCTTTAAACATTTTATTTTCCACATAAACTTCGCCTTCTTTTTTCTGTAGCTGTCACAAGTCCCTTGGTCCCAGCCTAAGGCTGGCAATAAAATTTATTTAAAGTGCCTATAGCCAAGTTGCCGCATATATATTGAGGGTTTGTCTATATTTTATTTCATTTGCCTTCTATCGCTTGTTTGTTGTTGCCTTTTTTACAACAGCTTTGTGGCAGTTGCCGTCTTTTGGCGTCTTTTTCGCTACTTTACCCATTAAATCCGTTTTTCCTGTTGACCGCCTCGGTCATAAATTTCTTATAGCCGAAAGGCTTTTCCTACCATCGTTTAATGCCACTTTTTTTTTAGGTTTTTCCTTGCCTGAATTGCGGATGGCTCAAAGTTTTATTTCTACATCAGCGAGTGCAAATTTTGCTTCAAGAACTTTTGCGCTGGTAAAGCGTTTTTTTTCTGATGAAGCTTGCGTTGTTACATATACTTGCTTATATATAAGAAGCCTACGGTAAAAAGTTAAAGTATTTGACTTTTAATTTTTACAGTTTTCACTCTTATTGATTGCGCCTATCCTTGATTTCGTTTCAGGCTTTCACCAAATTTATATTACCTTTCTTTGCTTTTATATTTACTTAGTTTTTCTTTGCTACTCTTTAGTTCATAGAATCCCTCGCTTATTTTTGGCAACTCTTAAAGTCTTTACGCCACTTGAGCATATCCAATTCAGCTTACTTTGTTGCAAAGTCAATAAAATGCAATTGAGTCGAAAAATTAAAATCGAATTGTCGTGGATTTACAGTCTGCTTAAAATATTCTTTAGTATTGAATAAACACTTTGCTAGTTTTTGGGCGTTTCACAATCCTTAATTTACTTCTACACTTACGTCTTCTCAAATTCACTCGAGAAAATTCGCTTTAACCAAATATTTAATGAAACTAACCATTTGCCATTTAGCGAGCGTTAAGCGTACTCCTTTTAGTGGCGAGCCTTAAACACTCCCATTAGACGATTTGATAAACAAATAAACAAATCTGCAAATCGCAACGCGTAGGTGGGATAAATCACAAAGTTTCGCGTTCGTTTGCATACACGCTCGTTTGTGCCTACGCGTACATGTGTGCGTGTGTGTACATAGGTGCGAGCGTGAGTATTTTCTTAATTCTTTTAGCGAGTTCTGCTGCCGGCAGTAAACGCTGAGGAGCCTGCTTGCCGCTTGCACAGCCTCACAGCTAAGCTTTGTGCTACTGCTGGCACTTAAATGGCACCGTAATTTTCGAACAATTTTCTCCCAAAATCACAACACAGACTTTTCCAATTTCCCATCAGCATTAGCACTCACTATGTTTGCAAGTGTTTGCACATTGATTTTTTTTTTTAGCTAAATTCGATTACAGTGATTTGATATACAAATTCTCACGCGCACATCATTTCTTGCCTATTTACTGCTTTATTTTAGGATTCTTTGCACAATTTTCGTTGCTTCGCTTGAACAAATATTTTCTAGCTGGAATTTCTATTTTCTTCCACTTCAGCACACGCGCGTATATATCGACTGCTTTTGCTTAAATCAGAAAATTTTTATTTTTTCTTCGTCGTGTGTGTAGCACACGAGCTAACGATATTGCACGGCGAATATATACAAGCGCTAATTCCGTCCGGTATCCGCACGTAATTTCCCAACGATTTCATTAGAGCGAGCGACCTTTAGAGACTGAATTTGAGTGTGTATCGCTGGTGACAAACCAGTCCAGCAAGCAGCAAACAGGCGAGCCAAAGCGCACAGCGACGACGGCAGCAGAGTGCGCTAACGAGCTGATATACACAATTGAGCGAGCGCGCTCATAATGATACGAGTGGTGTGAGCGCACGCATAGCGCTGTGTACGAGAGTACAAGAGCGCGTTCAAGCGACTAGAGGGAATAGCAGTTTCTATGTTTGCATGAGTATTTGTGCAGATTTAACGAAAGGTTGACTTTTCCGACAAGCGGAAGTGGAAGTCAGCAGGCGCTGCAAAACCTGCTAGGCTGTGGGGATATATGAGTTTATTGCTGCTTCTATTGGCAGCGCACTAATGTAAGCGCGCTGAGTTGAAGTGATAGAAAGCGCGCTGCTGCATAGCTTGTCACACATTGAGCCAAACTGTTATCAACGCTTAACTACAGCACATTCACGCTTCCTTAAAGTAACGCAGAGCAGCGTGTGTTAATAAACGCGCTCTCCATTAAACAAATACGCGCTCAATGTTTGTGCAGCAAAGCTTACAAAACTAACGTTAACATGTTTTGGCCCCAGGGCGGCATTGGCAGAGCGCGCGCTCATTGTTTTCCAACTCAATGGTCTGCTATTGCTATCAGTTTGCAACACAAAAAGTGCGTATGCGCATACTCCTATTGGCTCTCAAAAAATGTAAACTTGTGCAGCTAATCTGCATACTACACTCAATGACTATAGTCCTGGAGCGCGACGAAACACAAATTACTCAATTGGAGCGCCAGCGACTAGTTGGCAATAGCGAGTAGTCAACGCAGCAGTTAGCGCTGCTGCTAATAAATATTGTTGCCGCAGCAGCTTGTGCGGGTGGTCAACATCAACGCGCATGTGCCGGTAAAAACATATGCTCGCTCTCGGCAAATAAACACTGGCTCTCATAGCATGCTCTGTTTGTAGCGCGGCCGTGCAGTGAGCGCTTAGTGCTGAGCGGTAGCGCGCTCGCTTGCAGCAAATTTTCGTTAAGTTTATCTATATGTTTTTGAACATATACATGAGTTATGCGTCATTTGGCTTAACTGAATATGTTATGTTCATGTTTTTAAGCAACATTTAACTTAATGTGTGTTAACGTCTCAAAGTCTGTTGACTTTTAAAGGTTAAATACCTTCAGTCAATGTAGGATACACAGGCACTTCTGTATGTAAGCAATGACTGTTATCCTAAAATTTTAACAGCAGCTGAAATGTTAAATTTAACAGTATTTCGTTAAGTTAACATACATACGTATGTGATTAACGGTACTAGTGCCTTGGTGCTGCACTGTTGATAATAACATGGAGCGGAAAAGGAAGTTTACAGTGAACTTTTTGATTCGCAAATTAGGGGAAATTTAACATAGATACATTTATCTACGTAAAGGTAAGAATTAGACTTGCCTTGATTTTCTTAACATTTTATGTATCTTATAATCACGAATTGAGGCAGTGAATATGTTATGTTTAGCTAGTTATGCCCTTTAGGTCATAGCCTGTTTATAGATTTTTCTTATTAGTCAATATTTTTCGGAAAATGTTTGCTCATGCCAGATGATAGCTAACAAATAATTGATTATCAGCGTAGGCTAAGCAGAAATCAATAGTTTTTTATATAAGCCTAATCCATGCTTGTGATTAATAAGACATGTATTTAAAAATGATAGTTTCAACCACATCATTACAGAAAGTATTTGACAGTATAAACGTCAAATAAGGGCGCTTGATGTGATTGTTAGCATGACAGTTGAAATTTTAATAATGTATGCTACAAGTAATTGAGTGGGAGAAGTGTAACGAACGCCGTATGAGAATACGATGTTGCCAGCTATAAGTTAAAACATTGCATTACTCACTCATTCAAACCAAATTTTTCATTATACCGCTCATGTATTCAGACACTCACTCAGAAATGTACGTGACAGTTAATGTGTTAACTTTTCTAACGGCTGCTTCGCCACACAATTTTATGATTTTTATAATTCAATCAGCATTTAAATGACTAAATAACTGAATATAAATATACTTCACCTGCTTCAAAGTCAACTACACTCTCCTCCCTACAAGTTCCAAAAGCAACTCAGAAAAATTTGTGAAAACTCAATTTCCTTGCAACATAAGACAGTTGCAAGAAAAGTTAACGCCATGCGGCGGCGAAATTGCAGGTAACCAAAGTAACCTGTAGTTGACAGTAGCTCAACGCTGCGCAACAACAAGGCAGACGTTGCAAGCGTGCAAGCTGAAAATCACTGTCATATATAGAAAATTTTTAAAGTTTTTGAATTACTGGAAATATGTAAGGGGTGCAATATGCAGTCAGTGACAAGCACGAGATTATTGCATTATTTCTTTGAAAAAAAAATCAAAAACCAGCTACAAAAGCAAAAACAGGCGAAATTTCATGTAAATCTGCATATACTGTCGCGCAAATACAACGCTGTCTTGTATGCGAGCTTTTTGCAAATATGCGTTGACAGATTTTATAAAAGTTGCAAGCCAATTCTTGACATTTATATGATGGTAAAGCGATGCGGCAGTTGAAAGTTGTGCGGCAAAAAATTGTGAATCTTTTGGTGGAAAAGATGGCTTAAAATTAAAAAAAAAATATTTGGGTTGTGGGAATCAGCTCATGCATAATGGTTGCTTGATTGCTGAGTGCAAGCTTGCATTAAATCAATAAGCTGAGACCATTGTTAGACCCAGCGGAGACTTTTTTGTATACCATCTTAGGCAATATTTTTAGTTTGTCTTCAGAAATTTTCTCGCATTCTGCGAATTAATAAAACTAAAATCAAATATTTCTTTTTAGTAGTTGTTTGTATTGCACTTGTTGCACTGAAACTTTGCCCTCACATATGATATATATATATTTATAAATTCAAATTTATATGTTTGTTTTTGCATTTCTAATATTTGCCGCAGCCTTAATTTGTAGCTGCTGCATGCCACTTGCGGTTTCTATGCACTTATTTAAGTCCTTATTGCTTGTTGCACATAGGTGAATGCTCGTGTCCGAATAATTGCAAAATTAAAACTGTGTATTTTGTATTTGCCGAGAGGTGAGAGTGAGTGGAGGGGTAATGACGCACGCAACAAGACAAAGGATGTTGCAACAACGAACAGCAAACAAATGAACAGCAAACGAATACAAGAAAAATTAAAAAAGGGCATACATTTTTGCATGCAATAAGCTAGTTGTGTTAATAACAACAACAACAACAAAAATAAAGTCAAGTGAAGAAACGTTCTTGCCGCTGCTGGCGCACTAGTTGCACGTTGTGGCACACACACATACGATCGGTTGTGTGATGTGTTTTCTATCTGCTGTCTACCCGGCTGTCTGCCTTACTGCCTTTCCGCTCGACCAAACCACAGACGCAATGTTGCAAGTAAGTATACATACATATATGCCGCTAGCCCTGTTATCGCTCTACTAGTTAGTTTGTTGTTGTCGCACTGCCATGACGATTTATTATTGCATGCCAGCAACTACAGTAACAGCAACAGCAACAAGAATAACGGCAGCAGCAACAGAGTTTTGTTGCATGAGCATTGTACAACGCCAGCGGTGATCTTTACACGAGCAAAGTTTCCGTACGTCTTCTTGCATATCTCCATATATAAACGTACATGTATGTGTATGTATGCTTGTGCGAATGGCTATGTACAAATGTCCCTGTGGCTTGAAGGTAGCGATATGAAATTTAATTTTTCCTTCTTAACATTTATTTCTGCAGTGCATGCACAAGTGGTTCGCTTTGCATACTGTTGTGTGTGTGTCCTCTGTTGCATGCCACTTCATATGCGGCGACACAGCGTGCGCTACCTTTTGTTGTGGCGCTATGCTACTGTTCTGTTGCATGTACAAATTTACACAACACACAAACATACAGTCGAGCTTGTGTGCACTTGTATTGGTTTGTTTGTCATCTTCTGTTTGTCACTTAAATCGAAGTTAATTTGTAGGGTTTGTACTCGTCGGTCATTTGGCCTTCGCCTCGCCCATTGTCCTCTGTGTGCGCCTGGTTTATTTTATGCACTGACGTCATGCTTTGTTGTTGCATTGCATGCTCTCATTGTATGTGTGAATTTTGTTGACAATTTGTAATTAATTTTTCGTACCACCCACTGCTCAATTTCGGTTTCTCTGTTCATCACTATCTCTCTCCCTTTCTTATCCTGTGGTTTCCATGTTGACCATTTTTTGCGCTTCGTCTTTATTGTTGTGTTGTTGCATAAAGTTTGTGGAAGTATTTTGCATGCAGTATTTTGTTGTATATGTGTTCAGTTAAAGTGAATTAAATTTTTAACATACAAGTATATATGTATATGTGCATTAGGGTGGAGCGAAAAAAATTATTTTGGGCTTAGCCTGGGTAAAATCTGTAGATTTTACAAAAAGAAATACTTTTGGCCAAAAAAAAAAATTTTTTTTTTAACACCTACAAGGGCACTAAGTTTTAAAGTAAATTTCGAGTTAAAATTTTGTTTGGTTTAAACTCTTCACGTTTATATAAAACATACCGAATTTAATGGTTCGACTCGAAAATTTACTTTAAAACTAACTATAATGCCCTTCACAAATACAAAATATGGCAGCTATATGCTATAGTGATCCGATTTAAACAATTTCTTCGCAAATCGCATTTTTACCTTAAATAATAATCCACGCCAAACCTCTTGAAAACATCTCATCAAATTAAAAAGTTTTTCATAAAAATTCTTGCTTCCAATCGTTCAGCTTGTATGGCAGCTATATGCTATAGTCATCTGATATCGGCCGTACCGACAAATGAGCAGCTTCTCGGTAAGAAAAGAACGAGTGAAATATTTCAGATATATATCTAAAAATTGTGGGATTAGTTTTCATATTTAGGGATAGAGAGATGGATATTGCTAAATCGACGCAGCTTATCATGCTGAAAATTTTTATACTGTATATATTTTATAGGGTCGCCGACGTTTCCTTTTGGGTGTTACAAACATCATGGCAAATTTAATATACCCTGTTTAGGGTAT